AATAATGATATGCATAGCGCACTTTCTAGTACGTGGTGTTCTTTTGTGGGCTTGATTCGTGGAATTCGCGAAAAGGTGTATGCGTACGGTGTACATTGTTACCTCATTTTTGACCGCCATATAAGTCAGATCGTTTACTTCGAAGTTGGTAACAAGCCTACTTTTATGATCACTTTGTAGGAAATCAAGACTACAAAAAGAATCATAAAAGCATGGATTATTTCGGTCGCAAAAGTTCTGTGCAGTCTATACACAACTGAAACACGATGATGTTTCCAAACTTCTTATCCGCACCCTCCCTGAATGTACGCTCATGAAACGTTGCATTACTGTATCGGGGCATCCTGATAGTCGGAAATACGTGAAACTACCTAAAGCACCTAGTACGTTTTGAGCATCCGTGGGTGTTAAACTATCTGAATGCCAAAGCACAGTTTGTAACAGCTTTAAAGATTATGTGAAAACAGTACGTTTCAAGAAAACCGAATTCCCTAATAATGGTGGACCTTTGTCCATCCTCTATTGTGTTGCATGAAATTGCGATTCTTCAAAATTAGGTGCATGAAAGATTAGGCCCACCTTGACTGTGCCTAGCCATCAGAACAGGGTGGATGTGGAAAGAGGGAGAGAGCGGGATATATACAGCGCAAATGCACCTCACGACTGGGCAGATCGTGTGGGACAATAAAGGACCTCGCCGCCCGCGGCGGTAAAGCTATCGGCGACCCCCTTAAGACCACGTGCGGAGTCGTGCAGGGTGTCCATTTTTCTGGTGCCCAATCTTTTCGGTATGTATAGAGCACATCCGCTAGGCTCCCTACTGACAGACCTGCAGTCTTAACCGAACTTTTGGAAAAAGAGCCTTTTTCCACTACCGTCTACCGAAAAGCAGTAAATAATGGACGATGTTTGAATGTGACGCCAGCCAAAAGTGCACGAGCGAAGTGCTTTGTCTCAGGTGAGACTGGCCGCACTCTCAGTGGAAACATCGTGAGGATATCGCAGATTACATGAAAAGGAGAACTGTGGTGGTTATTGCACGCTCTTTGTCTAGTTTTGCTGTTTTAAATCCAGAGCTACCGCCTTAGTAGAGGTGAAGAGGCCAGCGCATGGCCAAGTTGGAGGAGAACTGTAAGGATATGGTGATTCGAAGTCTTTGGATCGAACTTAACATGTGTACTACTAAAAGTCGTCGCATGCAAAGAGGTATTATGCGGAATTCATCGGGATCGCTAGATCGGGCGCTGCACAACTAAGTAAAGGACGAATATATATGGCTGGAGTTTCAAACAGAAAGGTCAAGAATACCTTGTTGGCCACAAAGGCAGTTTAAGAGATATAAGATTTGTGCCTTTCCGGGTAGTAAATTGAAGAAATCAAAGGGAATACATAAACGCGGCTCAAGGAGCTTTTTCATTTTGGAGAAAGAGGTGGAAGGAAAGATTTTCAGTCGAAGGTCAATGTGCTACTGAAAGTGATTTACCCTGCTAGTCTGAAATGCAATTCTACCTTAACAACATTTTCGATATAAACGTGTTTAATGATAATAATTGGCAATTTCACAGCCTGCTAGTATACAGTACGTTGAAATTAAGGTCTCAGAAAACCTCCAAATCAGGAAATTCCTGAACTGTCAAGTGCCCAGACAAGTGAACAAAAATGAAGATGGGGGCTACATATACAGACGTCTCTCGTCTGTTCTGAGAGCGACGTGAAGGATGAGCGTGAACTACCGACTGGGGGGAGTAAGTCAACCCATTACTGGGAGTAGTTATGGTGAAGTCTTATTTATGCATGCACGCATGAGAACAACAATCGGGAAGACGTGTGGACGAACCTAGGCGCATGACTACCAGTCTGTGGAGAAATTAATCAGGGCATTAACAAGCACGCGTACATGAAGTTCTTTGAGAAGGGATCAGGCTTAATGCGGCGCAAGCGTGTCTTCAGGCGTTTCCCTATGGTAAGAGGCCAAAATGAATAAAAGAGGTTGTGGTTTATAAAGTTCTTCTGAGGAGAGGTGGCTCTACAGAGTGCAAGGAGATTACGTAATATATGAATGCACTTTACGAGCGAAATTGTCACACGCTGTGTTTGGTTCCTCTGAATACGAAATATCAGGCAGGACCCCCTTGCTCTACCAGTTTACCTCCCGGAAGATTTGGGCTCCGTCTCAGGCACGGGATGAGGAAAAATGGGAGAAAAGCAAGGTGCATGTGGGAAGAAAATGTGCTTGAAGTCTCGTGACCAGTTAAATTTGGTCACAAAAAATGTAGATAGCTACAGACAGAGGAACCTACCAATGTACGTTTGGATGGCCCGAAGGCGTTTGATTTCGAAGAGATCTGCAAGAGTCAACGCCATGCCAGCTTTTCCCGCACGTGCTGTCCGACCAACACGATGCACGTAGTCCTTTGGTCTAATGGGCACGTTGTGATTGATAACTACATCAACGGTGGGAAAATCCAAACCGCGGCTGGCCAGATCAGTAGCAATCAAGACGCGTATGTGACTTGACTTGAACGACGTCAGTGCCGTAATTCGATCTCGCTGGGGCATGGAGGAGTGCAGGACAGCTGACTGGATGCCAACAGCGGACATTATAAGACCCAACAGGTGGCACCACTTGCATTTATTGGAGAAAATTATGATGAGGGAATGGGGGCTCTCGGTCAGAAATTGGTCCACAATGTAGACAAGAAAAGCCTCCTTTAGCTCAGGTTTTGTGATGAGATAATGTTGGCTCAAGGTATCGACGGTAGCTGCGGTGGCACCAGGTGCTACTGCCTCAATGCCTTCGGCCTGCCAAACAAGAGGTGGTCGCCGGTTTTCGGCGAGTGCCTTTACCCTTGCGGCCTCGACGGCATTTTTGATGGCTGGGCTGAACGTGGCACTAAATAGGAGGGACTGTCTGACTTTGGGCAGTGCGGACATAATTTCCGAAAGATCCTTGCCAAAGTTATCCTCAAGTAGACGGTCTGCTTCATCTAAGACCAAAACCTTTAGTCTAGCAAGATTCCACTCCTGTTCGCAATTGGGATCTGTAGCCTTTTGTGTGCGTAAAAGGTCTGCGAGCCTGCCGGGAGTTGCTACGACGATGTGGGGTCCTTGAGAGAGTTGGACGCTCTGCTGAACAATGTTTCGGCCTCCTGTGATGACCTGCACGGTACAGATGGGGCTGCCCTGAACAAGATTTAAGCCTGCCGTCTGCTCCCCAATTTGGTGAGCGAGTTCTCTATGAAGTATGGAAGCAAAAATAATGGCTCGGTCGTACTGCTCTGTTCCGCACTAACATAGATGCATGTGAATAGTAAATAAACGCTCAACGTAAGACCTATCCAAAAACAGACTACAAACCAAAAATTAGGTGTGTTAAATCGACGGAGAAGGTTGGAAAACGACAACCTTTGGAGAAAATTAGACAAAATATCGCTTATTTTGAACCTGCTGTGAAACATTCGGCAACCTTGAAGGGACCTTGGCGGATTGCATACGTTGCAATAGGCTGGGCGGGAAACTTGACCCGTGTGATTAAACTTGCAGATCCCGGTGGAGCCTAGTAGCTCAAATGGACAGTATTGACTGTACTCAAGCCTTCCCTTGCTGTCGTGATTCCTTATAGAGAACGTGCTACGAAAACTGGTGAAATAGTAGGGGAATGCTGGGAACAGTCAATAAGATAATTGCCCTTAGTCAAGTGATTCCCCGTAATCTTTCTGCAGCAAACAATACAACAATATACTTGTACCGACTTGGTAACGACCGCCTTACGAGAGATAATACGCAAAAATAACTGTTTTAATGTATCCTGTCACCAGGACCTGTTGATGAGGAGTTTTGTTTGTTCGATGGACAAAGACAAATATGCGAGACAAGTTTATCTCTTGCAAGCACATTGGAGCTCGTCTTTATCAAATACAACTGCAAATGTCCTGGGGTATTCTAAAGCTAGGTAAACGCTATTAACACCCTCGTGTAGGAATGTAAGTTTTTGTTTAATCAACTTTTCTCACCTGGTGGGGGTAATAATCAGCGCGTAAAATGGTCTCGGCTCACTCATTAGCGCCTGCAGTATCGGTATGACGAAGGCAGCGGTCTTCCCTGAACCTGTCTGTGCACATGCAATAATATCGTTGCCTACATAAAAGTAAACGAGTAATGACCTAAAAACCTTCAAGGATAGGAGGAATACATCCACGTTGAACTTCCGAAGGAACAAGAATGCCCTTGTCGCGTAGAAGTTCAACAATTTCAGGGCAAACACCCAGCCTCCTAAACGACATGGTCAAGAGGAGGTGACGCTAATTATAGAATAACCGCCTCAAATTCTAATAGTTAAAAGCGTAACCGAAATTCCAAGACATGCGTTCGTGACAAAGCCCCGGGATCAAAATGGGACGGGGCTCCTGAAAGTCTTAGGCAGTTTCCACGCAGGTTTTCTGTCGGAGCCAATGCAAAAAATCAGCATTGTGAAGATCAGAGTTCTGATTAGTCTCAATCTGCCTGTACGCAAATGGAGAAAGGTTAAGCGCAGCAAGTTTGCGTTGGTAAGACAACGTCTTAAGGCCTTTCACGATTTTATTCGACTCCTTTTGAATCTTTTCCAATCATATACAGTAGCTTTTAGCCAGGGACGCCACGCCTGTACTCCATGTTCCAGTTGCGGACAAACAACACTTCCGGATATTTTTCTAAACAGGTTCCTATCTGTAACTATGAAAGTCCGATTAATGGCGAAGAGAACATCGGCAGCTCTTTTGGCCAATCGACGCATTGAGAAGAGGGCTTCAGATATTACAGAATGGTGATTCCGATTTTGATTTGTTCAGTTAAATTTGACAGCTACCGTCAGCCAAGGAAGAATTGATGTTTAACTCCAGTTTTTTCTCTCCCTTCGAGTTAAGCCGCAGTGGGGCGGCGTTCTCGATGTTAAACCTCCGCAACCATTTACTGGTTCATTCACTCAGGCAGTTAAGTCCATCTTGCAGAGTGCGTTCATCAGTTACGCATTTAATCTCTCGACATACATTGATGTCTTCCAAAAGGACATCTCCCTTGAGTTCAAGTCTAATAATGCGGACATTATTATTTTGTATATAAGAAGGATACAGGCAGAGCATTGGAAAACCCTATTTACGGATAGACGTAGGAAAAAACATGCAGATATTTACTTAGTAGTTATGCCAATCATTGATATAATGTAAATGTTTGACCGTCAAGCACAAATTGATCCCCTACCAGCACCAGCCCCCTCGTGCCCCCTCTCGGCCCCGCCTCGCAAGGGGGCTATGACGGGTCACGAGGTGGCTATAAAGGGGCTGGAGAGGGGGCTATGGCGGGGCAGATCCCCGGTGTGGGCCCTCGTGCCACCTCATCGGAAAAAATGCGCAGGAGGACACCTTATAATTGTCGTTTTTGCTCCCTGGCCATATCAGACCGTCTGGTGGTACTGCGAATCCCCGAAACTCTTATTGTTCGCGTTATAGTTCAGGTCTCCCCTTTCCTATATCGATTTATCCCGGTATCCATGCTATATCACACATTAATGCCTTCTTGCGAACCCCTCATCGCCTTATTTTTCTTGCTTTAGTACAGCCCCGCTTTCCAAAGCCGATTTACCCCACGATCGTCAGCAGACCTTCACGAGTTACTACGAATCCCCGAACGAACCAAATTGATCAGCACACCTGGACGCCATTTACTGATTGTAGAATATTTTTAAACAAGCATGATAAAAATGTGATATGTACAAAAACTCATGCTTCGTTAGGGAACATATTTCGTAGGCCGTCCATGTCGGTAGCGGGTATATACATGAAAATAAAGCACAGCGTCCCAATAATTAAACGATAAAAATCACACTACAGAA